GCCATCTGAATAGAGTCTCTGGGCTAATCAGCGCTTCCGGGCCTGAAGTTCGGGAGACGCGTGAGAGATCAAGTTTTTTCAGTTTGCCAAAGTGCCCGAGGTACTGTTGGAGTAAGCTGGGACCTAAACGGCCCTGTATACCAGAAAGGTCGATTGCCTCTAGCGTAGAGGCTTGAGTAACGAGTGTCGAAAGAAGGAGATCAACGTCGTGAACGGTCAGGCCGCAGTGTCCTACTTCCAATGCACGTAAATGACTTCCTTTCTGTGAGGCAGCATCGACTAAGTAATCGAGATCTGAATCTCCGAGTCTGATTCCATTGAGCGCAACACAGTCGACGCTCGTGAGCTGCCTGCGGCAGATGGGGAAAACGGCTTCAGGAATTCCACATCCTGGATCGTGACTCTCACTATCAGACCTGGGCATGCGACTCAACGTGTAGGAAAAATCAAGCCGATTGAGGTAAGTGCTTTTCAGGGCCAAAGCGCGAATCTCTTGTGACAACACTGACAAGTTCTCTTGGCCGGGAATGTGAATGGGAGAGCCGGAGCGAGTGAGGAGAGCGTCTGTGTCCACTCCATGGAAATCACGAACACTCTGGAGCGCATCCAAGCTGACCCTGCTAAATGAGATAGAGCAGAAAGACTCGTTGTACCGAAGAGCTCGTAAGACCGCAATGAGCTCTAACGCGGTATATTTCTGGCGGTGGGGGGAAGCGGGCGGCAGAAGTCTGAAGCAGGGCGCATTGTCACATTGCATGTCAATCGTATAGCGGATGTTAGAGGTGTCGATATCATAACTGGCGGAATAGGCGACCAACGTTCGATCAAAGCAGCCGTAGTCTTCGTCCAAGCTGACAGGCGGGTAATTGCTCTCATGGTTCAAATCGCGAGGCACGATAAAATCGTATGGCTGCCGGAGCCACAACGGACGCAAAAACTCCGTCTGCTGCCTTATCCAGAAAGCAACCTCGAGCGAATGTACGGAAGCCAGGAAGACCGAGTATGGTTTGCCAAGCGGAAGCCGAAACGTCAGATGGAGGCTATCGTCACCCCATTCCATTGATAACCCGGTTAGATTCATCAAGCCGAAAGATGTAGCAGTTTCCAGATCGGACATCGAAACAACCGAAGAGCGACTAGAGATTTTGTGCAAAGGTATCAAGTGAAGCTTGTGTGAACCTAAGGCGAGATAGCACCCGGTGGGGGAAAGCTTGGTGAGGTCATCCGATGAGGCCCGTGTGGTAGTCTTGCTACTGCAGGCCATCTGGATGACCCGAAACATACGAAACGTTTCTGGGTCGTAATCTCTCTCGTATTCGAGCATCCGGGACACGCACTCGACCGACTTCTGGTCGAAGGGTAGAGGATCCGCATTACGGGTCATTTCCGCTGCTGAACGAATCCCTATCATCCATAGGTTTAGTTCCTGGAGATCTGATGTTTGCATTTGTATGAAAGCGGCCTTGTGCAGCCGCTCGTCCAGATAGGCAACTTCGACCATGGACGAAGGTCTCCCGTCGTCCAACATGTACACCGCGATGATGCTGTTCAGAGGGATTCCCACAGAGGCATCGTTGGGAACAGCAAGCTGGGGTTCTTGCAACGAGTTAATTGAGGCGACTGATTGGCGATTCATTGCTGGGGACCGCGTATAGGACGCAGGTATTGAGGAGAACATCTCCGCAGCCTTGCTCTGACTTTTGAACCGAACGAGATGCGTATCCGTGAGGACCAGGTACTGGCTTTTCTTCCTCCACATGCCGCCTGTCGTCTGGATCGCCCCATGGTGCAGAATGACCGAGCCGACCCCATTTCGAGAGGCAAAGGCGTCTTCATCGTCAACAGGCGAACCTTTTACGCGCCCGATAGACTTTTCGTCGTCATCCAGTGAATGAAGCGATCGTAAGGAACCAAAGACAGACGTGCGCCTTTTCTGCAGAGATTTACGTCGGGAACGAGTGGTGGTTTCCGGGACTATTATTGTAGGTGTCGAAGCTATGCAGGCTGCCGTTGATTCCGATTCGATCGTGCCGGGCCAATGCTGAGCATTGTTGCCCGGAGCTCTTGCTGGGCTGGTGTTCCGGACACCAAAAAACCCGGAATTTCGTCGGTTCTTCTTCTTGAGAGTGTTGACATCGTCCGAGGGCGATCGATCGTGGGTGATCGCGGAACCGGATAGAATTGAGGTCGTCGAGGACGGGCTAAACACGCTCAGGCTTTTTCTGCGCTCTTTCTTCCCCAAGCTGTCGGCCATGGCGGAGAGGAGCGGATAAATTGGAAAAGGTTCAGATCCACGGCAAGCGTAGAAAAGCAAAAATAACGAGTGTCAGGGAAATTTATTAAAGAGTGATAAGTCCTCACATCGACGACATCGACGTCGTTCTCACTAGGAGAGAAGCGCAGAAGAGCCAAGTTAGCTGAGTGTCACCACATGGTAATGATGGGCATGCATATTGGATAAAGACCGGCTAGTGGTAGATAGGGAGAGCATGATTTTTGGGACCATGAAACTAGCTCAGCCTATGGTCCTGTGGAGCAGGGAAGATGTGAGAAGGAAAACGAGGGAAAAGCAGACTAATTAGGGAGAAGGAAGAAGAGGGAAAGGAGAAGAAGAGGTGGAACATACAGCAGTCCGTCAAGGCGCCATGAGAAGCAATTGGTAGACTGAGGGGAAGCACCGGAGCTACGGCGAGGACAGTGGTACTTTAGGCCAAGTAGTGTAGCTTTGACGTAGTCACCAGAGATTTTAATAAACAATCGGAAATGGTTAAGAGAAAAGTAAAGAAGTAAAGAAAAAAAAATCATCCAAGTCCACAATTTCCCTAGGAGCTGAAGGCAACCGCTAACTGAATTGCTCACCAGAAGAAGAGCAGAAAAACAAAAGAATGAAGAAAGGTACGTGGAAGGTTACAATGAGACAAAGGAGCTGAGAGACGATAACCGCCCAGAGAGAATCAGAAGAACAGAAGCAGCGGATGAAGCACCGGAAAGGGAAGCAGATGGAAACGAAAGCAGCCAACAACGACAGGAAGAATGAATTGACTAGTACTGGCTTGCGCAATACTGGAGGAGGGCGAGATAGGTAGCTAAGGTATGATAATGACAATAATGAGATATGAAGGTAGGGTATTGGAGTATGGTAAGAACAGGGGAAATAAACCAGGAACAGGAACAAAATAAGATGACCAGGAACAAGATTTCACACCAGAACCAGAGGGGAAGAGTCAATGGATGGAAATGGATGGATGTTGGCTATCTTAGTAGTCTTAGTAGGTGAATAATAAGAGTGACAGATAACTTGATATAACTAAATGTCGACTGTTGGTTAATGACTACAGAAGTATTAAAATAATAATACACTGTCAATAATGTCATTCGATTTGCTGATTGACGACAAGCATGATGTCAGCGTGGATCATGTAAGCAATTTTACTTAGTTAACTATGTTTATTTACCCTCTTTTAGTAAGGTAAGGAATTACTTCAGTTACGTACAAGTTACAGGTTACTGCTGCAAACAGCTCTGGCGGCAAGACGAGAACAGTCAAGGACGATCAATGCCTCATGGTGATGCTGACGGCAAAATTTAATGCTACTTGCTGATCAATAATGATCATAGAGCTTCGCAATGGGAAATGATCAGATGGAGCCGATCGCAATAATGTACGGGAAAATTGGCAGCAATAGCATCATTGTATGATGTACCTCCCTATAAATCCATGACATAAGTTCTCAAATCCTGAGTTCCATGACCATTCAGCACTGACACTTATCGATACATGAGAGAGACTGAATATCCAACCCAGGTACCTCAGTCTCTAGCCAGGTACAGAGGTACTCCGTAGCTAAAAAGGGGTTGAAACTTGAAACATGGGTGGATTTAAGCTACCTGATACCGACAAACACTTAGCCTATCTTGGTAAACAATTTGAGGCGACCCTTCCATTTACAAAAGTGTGACGGATCCGAGCCACACCAGTTGTAGACAAAATAAACGAACAGACGACTCTTCCATCCGTACAACAACAGTTTGAGATACTTTCTTTAGTTCATGGTCAGGTTTTAGGAGACGAAGAACGCCTCCGAAGCACGGAACATCTACACTGTAACAGCTAAATACAGCTTTCAACTAGCGCAACGCAAGCTCCACCAGATCTCGGATCGTCATCGTGTGGATTACTCAATTCATAGAGAGAGAGGTATTCCACTCTGAGAAAAGGGTACACTGTCCAGCTCCAAGTCTTCTGCGGTCTCCATTTTACCTCCCAAGGCCAGTTGAGTGCCAAGTGTCATCGACTATGTGGAACTCAGGATGGTTCCTGCCTCCTTCATGGTTCTAACTTCGATCCTACCTGGGAAAGCCTGAAAGGTACGGTACTCACTACCTTACTCATGCACCTAAACGGAGCCATTGAAGCCTATTCCACTGAGCCACAAGCCCGGGCGCCTTCGAGAAACTAAGAATAGCCGCGTACTCCGTACACCAGCAAAGTAAGGCTTAGGGCTAACCACCACAGTACTCGTAATACAAGGGCCAAGAAAAGCCATTTGGATCGAGTGATTCACCCTTGATGTCATGTTACAGATCTTTTCCAATCATGGCACTTTTCGTCCTGCGATCAACTTGAAGTTTATGATGCAGCACAGCTTGTATTCTTAGTGAATGACGGAGTCCCATTGCTGATCTACGCAACCGGATAGCTGAGGATTTACGGAGTACAGGACTTAGTCGAGCCGTCGTCACGGAGATCACAAACAGCGTTTCAGATTCATCCCCGCACAGAGAGTGAGTACCGTGGCGAGGAGAGAGGGACGACGAAAGAGCGCATCGGCCAGTTGAGCCATGTAGTTATGAGGCAGACCATACATATCGTTCTGGTCATTGTCTCGGCTCGACAAGATGCAATGCCACACATCGACACTGCCCTGTGTTTTCGGCGGGTGGATGCCTTCGATGAGCGGAGACCTTTGATGAAATTTCAAACTTATACAAAACCCGCTCTACTCCGATTCTGAGAATCGCGCTACCCTCTGTGCCTGCAGTCGTTCGGCTCGTTTTACCTTCCGCATGAAATCAATATATTCGTTCACTCTCCGCTCGGCCCAGATGCATCCCCCCAGAGTCATTGCCGCAATCTGTAGGAAGACCTTAAATTGCGGAGTCAATCCCCGGTAGACCCGGGCCGTCGGAGACAGCCACTCAGAAAACCCCTCGAGGGGGCCGTAGATGAATTTGGACCGTAGATGGTCCTTGGAAAAACGCAAGGTCCTCGGACGACTTGATGACGGCGACGCCGGTGGATGCGACGGAGTTGCTGCCGGCGGAGAGAACTTGAAAGGATGAGGAAGCATAAGGATCATATGTGCAAGGATGGACACGGAGCCAAACTACCAATCAAGAGCTGAGCGTCAGCATGTTGCACTCATTTCGCCAGCACATACTCCTAAAATGGCCCAAGCAATTGATAGAGAACGCTTGGGCAAGGTCTGGGCATTCAACCCATGGACCCGATATGGAACTCATCTGGAAATAACAAGGATTATTATCATGATCAAACCCACCCGAAACGCTCCAGTGAGGAACCCTCGAACAGCCTCCGATGTGACCTCGTCTGGAGGGTCAATGTCCCCTTTCTGACTCACTGTAGGCATGACGGAGGGATCTGATGATGTGCCAATTTTATAGATGTTATGGACTGAAAAGAAAAAAGTCCAGAAGAACTGGAACAGTCGTCGACATGAAGCTGAGATGACATTTGCAGCTGTTATCATTCGATAACACTTGCGAATGACGCAGCTATACAGTCGGATTAAGTGATTGTCCCTTTCCGGTAACACTGATACGCGGGACATGTTCCGCTAAAAAAAGTGACACTGAACCAGACCTTGATTACTACCCAGCCCTTGAGATAGGCTGAATCAGGATTCAATTGCACGGGAACTGCTTGATTACTGAATCCTAGAAACACAACCCTTCAATTACTGAACCTGCCGCCCTACATCTACACAATGCCTCTCTCCGCACGAACAGCGACCGTCTCGCGGGTGACCAACGAGACCAAGATCCAGGTGTCTCTCTCTCTCGACGGCGGCGTCCTCCCTCCATACGAACCGTCAGATCATTTCCCTGCCCCTGAAGACCCGAAGGAGGCAGAGGCCGCCAAGCACGGCATCGTTCCCCCCAGGAATGCCGCCCATGCGACCCAATTCACACCGACCCAGCAGATCACCGTGAGCACGGGGATCGGATTTCTGGATCACATGCTGCATGCTCTCGCCAAACACTCTGGGTGGAGTTTAGCCATCAGAGCCAAGGGAGATCTGTACAGTATGTGCTTCAGTCTCGTCCACTCGCACTATCTCGTGGCTAATGTGTTGTACAGTTGACGATCACCACACCACCGAAGATACCTTCCTTGCGCTCGGTACTGCCTTCACCAAAGCCCTAGGCGCCCGGCAATCTCTTGCACGATTTGGACGCGGCGACGCTCCGCTCGACGAGGCTCTCTCCTGGGCTGTGATCGACCTCTCCAGCCGTCCCTGGGCCGTGATCAACTTGGGCTTCAAGCGGGAGAAGATCGGAGACCTGAGCACCGAGATGATCACTCATGGACTGCACAGCTTCGCGCAGGCTGCCGATGTAACGCTGCATGTTGGCTGCACATACGGAGATAACGACCACCACCGTGCGGAGAGTGCGTTCAAGGCGCTGGCCGTAGCTATCCGCACTGCCTGTGCCAGAAGGGTGGCTGGCGAAGTCGGAGCGGGAGATGTGGTTAGTACAAAGGGAGTGCTGTAAGGGTTCTGAATATATATGAGAGGGGGAGGGGCAACTACGGATATATCAGCAGCCGGAGAGACGAAGTTACGAAGATACAGATGAATCCCAAAGAATACACTGCATTGATGCTCAATTGGAACCATTAGTCGAGATCCAAACTCGCTCCTCCAAAGAACTCTAAGCACCCAGCGCCTGCACGGCCCGCGTCCAGTACGCCTTGCGCTCCTCATTCGCATTCGTCCCCACACAACTGGTGATGTACTTCTCCCACCCACCCTGGGAACCAGACTGGAGCTCCGAGCGCACATCCTGCGAGCACTGCGTGGTGAGGAACCAAGCCCCGGAACCAAAATCATATTCCTCGTTCGACAGCAACAAGTCAAGGACACCAGCCGGGTCGCCAGACACACCCTTCAACTTGTCCGCAAGAGCCGGCAGAGAAGCCGCATACTTGGCATTGAATGCAGGCGATTGCATATTCCGAGCTATACGAAATCAGGGTCAGCCCTCTTCTCGCAGAATACGAATCGTAAAAAAACAAAACAAAATGCAAACATACTCCCCTGCCCCGCAACACCAGGGAAATGGTTCCTATTGTACTCGAAATCCAAACTCTCAAAGGCCATCAACCCGATCACGGCCGCCTGCTCCGCAGCCAAGGTCACCTTGTACGTCTCGAACGACTTGGCGATGTTGGCCGCGGCCTGCTCGGACGTGGCGCATTCGCCCGGGGCGGGTGCGTCCGCGCACGACTTCGACTTGGGCGCGATGGCCTCGATCTGCGCTGCTGTGATCTTCACGTCTCGGGCCTGGTGCTGGGTGGTGGTGGAAGCTGGAGCCGCGTAGCCCAGGGTAGGGAGGATGAGGAAGACGAGAGAGTTGTAAAGATGAGTTGGCTTCATTGTGAGCTGCGTTGTTGTGGCTGGTCTGTACTTCTACCGGTAATCAAAATGTATAACAGACAGTATGAGTCCTCAAGGGAAGAGATCTGAAGATGTATGAGCAGTATTGGCTTCAAACACACTCTTTATATGATTTGAAAAGAAAGGCAGGTAATGCTAATGAGATAATAGTCACTAGTCGCACCATTCCTCACCGGAGAAGCGACAAGAGTCTTCATTCCTCATTGCTCGTTCCAGATATTTCAGGGTGGAGTGGAAATGGCTGGCGAGACTGCGGCTTAAAATCTGAATAGAATGAACAGAGGTCTATGGAGTCACTTTGTCTCATGTTTCAATGTAGTAGTATTCGCAGGGGTAGATTGTGTTTAAAACATTACCTATCCTACCCCTGGTGTTTTGCTGGATTCGTCGAGCGTTGCAACCCCGATTATGTCTCAAGGTGTTGCTGGACGAATCTGAAGCATATGCCTCTCGCAGGCCCACGCCTGGTATGCATTAGCGGCGATCTGCTAGTGCCGAACTCAAAGTTGATTGGAACACGGAGAATCGGGGCTGAAACATGTTGCACGGTATTCTTCCAAGCTGCATGTTGCTGACGCCCAAACAGGATGGAGAACTGCTTACTGGCAATCTCTTGCGCCTTACTAGATCATCTGGAGCCCAAGCCTCCAATATAGCACTTCTTCTCCATCAGTCCTCGACTGATAACTTGGAAGTACAGAGGCATCCGTGGACTTGATATGAAGAAGACAATGGTCATTTGATTGACCTGGTCATCGCGAATGTATCATCGCTTAACAAATTTCTATTTCCGGTCTGCTTCCCAGCCGATACGTTATAACTGTAGTGGGGATGAGTACACCCATCACGAGCGCAAGTCTATAGTGACATGAAAGGTAGTGGGTCAACAAGGGAGGTGAAAGATCAATACAAAGAAATATGTAAAAGAGACAATGGAGAAGGAAAGGTGAAGAGGAAAGAGCAAAGTAGATCAGGAATCTGAGAGAGCCAAATACAATGCGGGTAGGCTGCCTAGCAGACTACCTCGCATGCAGATAGATCCAAGTCATCTTGCCAAAACATGTACAAGCAACCATCTGATTCAAACAGGCGCTTCGGTCAATCCGTGACCCAAGAAAAACTCCATACATGCACGAATAAGCAGAGAAACATGGCCCAGAACTGCGTGTCTCAGAACAGTGTTGGACCATCGGGAATAGTGGGTACAAGAAATGCTGGATGCAAGAGTCGTATCAAAATGCGTTGCGAAGTGACCACGGTCACAATTTCGGTCACAAAAGAGGCGTCGAACCTTAATCGCGACGGTTGTGAAGTTCGAACGAGGTCTCCGTAACATGGGCAGATTCTTCGTCTTCTTTAAAGCTAACACGACGAAGTAGCGTAGGCATCATGCTTCGAGATCGACGTGTAGGGGAGGATAAGCGACCCAGGCCCGGTAGCTTCGAGTATCGGTAGCGGTATTTCGAGCTCAGGAGAATCATGCGCCCATAGACCCACCAGAGGCAGAATCCCACGACAGAGGCCAAGATGAAACCCAGAACAGTAAGGAACATCCAATGCTGACCCATCCAGAAAATCAATCTGGCGTCTTTACCGTGCCAGCTGTTGCCGACATGGTGAGTGAAGAAGCTCCACGAGTACTTGTTGTATTCATCCTGCATGAGAATCCGAACTCGTGCAGCCTCACTCGGTTTATCTTGCATGTATTCCTTCCAAATCACTGACAGGAAGAGAGGACCAGTCGAGTACATGACGGTAATATAAGGAAGCAGCCAGCTGCGGTCGTAAGATTTCAACAATTCAATGACTCGAAGGAAAAACGGATGTTGGGGAACGGATCCCATGGCATCGTTCGAAATACCCGTTGGAACGGTACGGCGCACCCAAGCAGGGTAGGAGAGGAGGGGATCCAATCGCCGGTTGCAACCCTGAATCAATTCGAGTCAGCAAACAGAACTTCTCAGTTCAATTTAGTAACCATGCTCGGAAAACATACATCATCAAGGTCAATATATGTACCGCCAAAGTGAGCAAGAACAAAGTATCGGATAGTATCTGCCCGTTGGATCGGGTACTTATAGCCGTCGAATGTGTCGAGGAACCACGGATATTCGTCCTTGATGAATTCGCGCGACTTTTCGTTGGTCCATAGCTGATGCGGGAGGACACGTTAGTATAACAAGGCAACGGTTGACGGGAAATGAAGCACATACGATGTATTCATAGTCAGGGTGCAGATCTTTGCAGCTTTGTTGAGCCTCCCGCCATACTTCTGGGATTGTCTCGTTCTTGTATGTCTGGTGAATGATCTTGGGTATAATCTGCGGCCGTTGTTCAATTAAGCTCGAATTTGGCGAGGGAAGCTCCGCGTGACGAATTGCATCGGCCGAGGCATCTTCTACCAGCAAGGATAGTAGGGTGAAGACACTGCGCACAAGAAACGATATGATGAGCAGGTTGACAATGAGAAAGATCAAGACACCGCGCCGCATGTTGGATGTGTAGTAGCACGACCGTGCAACTGTGCAACAGTACGGCCGAACAAAAGATGGACAGGTGTCCCCAATTGAAGCGCAAATTATTTTCTGACGTGATTTCGAGTCGTAAGGGCGTGTCGTGTGAGGTTCTTGTGAACGCGAAGAGGCCGCAACAGTTGTTTCCGGTTTGTTGTTTATCTTCAACCTTGTTTTTGCCGCCAGCTCACGGAGTAAAAAGATTGACAATGTAAGCTCCAATTGCTGGATCTCCTGATAGTAGACTGATTATTATCCGAACAATAGTGATTGTATATGCCTGGAGGAGGATTAATGCTGTCGCAAAGCACAGGCGTTATTCAGAAGGAGGCAGGTAATCGGAGAGGTTCTGTTTGCCCTAAGTTGTGACGCCCCTTTTGATGAAGATCCGCAGAACTCGGCGGAAGGGCTTGCGAGGATAGGGAAAAAGTGAGA